TCTCTCTCTCTCTCTCTCTCTCTCTCTCTCTCTCTCTCTCTCTCTCTCTCTCTCTCTCTCTCTCTCTCTCCAACCTGTCTCCTTTCCATGCTGTGGCTATCTTCATGGTTCTTCACTGTGATGGTTCATAAGATAAGATGTGCAGAAAGACTCCAACATGTGCAAAATCACACAAGAGTCAAAGAGCACGGTACAACAAGTGTACAAAGATTGCCAATAGCTGGTGGGTATGGCACCCCGACCGTCTTCTTCACTGTGAATTTGTGATGGCGTTGGTGCTATTATTTGTGCCAAACAAATCGTGGTGTCAGCAGTTAGGGCCACCACTCTTCACATGGGACGAAGGGGTGGAGCTGACACTTGAGACATAACTCACACTAGGACTTTCCTGAATGTATATGACAGCAATCACATCCAGGTTCCAAACATCAGTACAAAAACTTACGTCCTTAGACTCCTTACTGATGTTCTTCAACCGAGCCTAAGTTGCTGTCTTGCTGATATACAGGATCCAAGGGGGGTACTGCGGGTTGTGCAAAATGCCAAGTACCCGGACTTTGGGGGCGATTTTTGACTTTAATTTCCAGTGACCAAAAAATCAAAAAGAAAATCAGGGATGCGGCTTAGGTTTCTCCGCATCGAGGAAAAAGAATGAAGAAATAAATTCAAATAATAGAAAATGGCTTGGCCCTAGAAAAAAAAACATTCATTCATGCCGAACCGAATGCATTTTTTCAATCAAAGTTGGTGTGACCAGGTACTATGAGTGACGTTTCAGGCCGGGTGGGCCCTGGGGGTTGTCGTTTTCGTTCTGCGGACTTAAACCGCCACTACCCTTCTCGTATGTGGGCCGCGGGGTGGGTCCCACTCCTTTCAGAGGGGCCCGTAGCCGCCGATGAAAAATATCAGCGGCGCCCAGCGGCAAATTTTTCAGATGAGGAGGTCATTTAATCATCTAAGTAAATCAAATGGGACTACAGCTGCGAAAGGTAACGGCGATTTAGTCCCAAATGTCAAATGGGTACCTTGGGCTGAACTGGTGGTTTAAATGTCGTTCCTAGGGCCTTCTTCTCTGCACGCAGACTGTTTCTGCCCCTTTTTTTATAGAAAAAGAACAGAAGTGTCACGTGTGTGAAACTGTGAGTCCTTGAAGAGGTTAGGGTCAGGAATGGGGATGGTGGGGACCACTTACATGCTCTCCTTTGTGTCTCTCCTATTGAAGACCTCTCCGCTTGTTTTTTTTTTTTCACATCATCTGTTCTGCAGCTGTTGCGGTAAATGCCGATCTCGATTATGCGGTTGTAGAGTTAAGTGATCCGGCAGTAGATGCTTCCGGCGCCGACGAAGCTCCTGGAAATGACGTGGGGGAAAACGCTCCACCGCAAGGGGAGAAAAAGTCAAAAAGGGGAAACAAGAGAGGGAGGGGTCTTTCTGCACCGACTTGCAGATATCTGCTAGTAGGATCAGATCTCGTCGAGGACCTCAGCATGAAATGGGGTTGCCCTCTTAAAGTTCACCTACTCGTGAAGGGTTCTGCCGTGGAGAATTGCAGGTATGGATATGTGTGTATTACTGTGTAATACTGTGCATGCGTGTGTGTGTGTGTGTGTGTGTGTGTGTGTGTGTGTGTGTGTGTGTGTGTGTGTGTGTGTGTGTTGTCAAGAAACCCCAAGCACTCTCTCTCTCTCTCTCTCTCTCTCTCTCTCTCTCTCTCTCTCTCTCTCTCTCTCT